GAGGAAACTATTAGGAGGGGAAAGGAAGAGGAGGGAGGAGAAGGGGATGGGGGAGGAGAGGAAGTGGAAATGACAATAAAAGAATGAGAAATATAATGGGAAGAGGAAGCGAAGAAATATAAATAGTGAAGAGAGAGAGAGACGCGAAAGAACTGGAAGAATATGTATGTAAAAATGTAGATTGAGAAGAGAGAGAGAGAAAAAAAGAGAGAAACATTAAAAAAAAAAAAAACAGAAGTAGAACAACAGGAGAAATGAGAATGAAAAATGAGGAACCACAACGAATAAAACAGGAACGACACGCAACCGAAGGGCGGCGACTCACTCGAACTGCGACGGCAGGAGGTCGCATCCGCCCGCGAGTCCTCGTCGGTGCAGGAACGAGGCCGGGAGGTTCGGGTGCGAAGATTCCAGAAGCTCCAGCATCGTCGCGTTCAGTCTGGCGATTTTCTTCTCGTACTCCTTCGAGAGCAAGAAGTCCGTGACCCTCCGCTCGAAGGCGCAGTCGCACTTGACGGTGTGGGCGGCGGCGTGACTGGTTTTTCCTTCGTGACTGGTTTTTGCTTCGTGACTGTTCTTTCCTTCGTGCCTATTTGTGTCGTGACTGTTTTTCCCTTCGTGACTATTTGTGTCGTGACTGTTCTTTCCTTCGTGACTATTTGTGTCGTGACTGTTTTTCCTTTCGTGACTATTTGTGACGTGACTGTTCTTTCCTTCGTGACTAGTTGTGTCGTGACTGTTCTTTCCTTCCTGACTTTTTGCAGCGTGACTGTTTTTTCCTTCGTAACGGCCTTTCTCTTCGCTCTCCTTTGGGTATTTGGGGACCGCGATGGTTAGGGTGTCCTCGCTTCCTTTGGCGTTCGTGTAGTCGGAGTCTCGCCAGGACTCGGGCGTGGCGGCAGCGTCGCGGGCGGTTTGCAGCATGGCGAAAGTCAGCAGACACGTTATAGCGAAGCAGAGGAGGTGTCTGACCGAGAGCCTGTGGAGAGACAGGAAGTGAATCTATTCGGTATATTATGTAAGGGAAGGTGGAAAGGCGTTCTTTGGATAGCGGAGGACATATTGATGATAATGACAGTAATTGAGATGGTGATGACGATGATTATGAAGACAGGGATGGTGAGAGTGACGGAGCGTGTGAAGGCGTGAGTGACGGGCGATGATGATGAAGACGGGACGAGGTTTCGACACCAGGATCGTCGAACTTCCAACGCCAAGTGGATCGTCAGCTCAGGTCTGATATAAATATTCTTTGTAATCTCGACAGGAATGATAACTGAGGATAAATTTGAAGACAGAGATGATGCTATTGAGGACATGATACAATATTAGTGAAAAAGGAAGGCTGGGGGTGGCGTTGGCGGGAAGAGGATAGTCGCGTTGGTGACGACCAAGGTAGCAATAAAGGCGGCGGCACAGTATCTGCCCCTGACGCATGTGAGCGAGATTTGCGAAGTCTGGCAGGTGATACTTTGCAACTGCTGTCATTTCTGCCATAGCCTCAGGGCTAATATCTGTTCATTCCTTCGTGACTATTTATGTTGTGACTGTTCTTTCCTCCGGGACTATTTGTGGTGACTGTTTTTTTCCTTCGTGACTGTTTGTGCCGTGACTGTTTTTTTTTTTTCCTTCGTGACTATTTGTGCCGTGACTGTTTTTTCCTTCGTGACTGTTTGACAGCTGGGTCGCTTGCTTGCAATCCAGCCACCACGACAAGCATACACTTCAAAGACAGCGCAAGAGTGAACTAGAAATAGCTGGCACAGGCCGGGCCACTAGAGGAAAGGCCCGGGCGAAGCAAGTCTTGGCAGATCGAACTGAACTGGGCTGAAGTGTCCGCGTCCTGGAGTTCCCTGCTGTGACCGGGCGCCGCGGGGGGGGGGGGGGGGGTACGGTCTGTAAGCTCAGTCAGATCGAGCTTCGCATATCCGGCTTATCCTTATCTGTCTGCTGCTACTGGCTGCGCTGTGCTATTTACTATGGCACTGATGATCACACTGCGATGACCGTGAAACATAAGGTCAGAGAGATGGGGATAATGTCATTAACGCTGATATTTTCGCTACTGCTCTTTGTGCTACTGTGCTACTAACTATTTTGTCTGCATGTTTCTTACTAAAAAAAAAAAAAAAAAAAAAAAAAAAAAACACACACGTCATAATTATAGAAAAAAATCATAACATGAACTGACTCCCTAACTGCCAACGAAAGAAAGAATAGGCAAAAAATAGAGAAATAAAATTAAGATGTGATAATTACATAAGTAATGAGGCCTTAACCCCAAAGCACATTTAACTAATTTGATTCAAATGTTTATATATTTTGAATGTTTATATATTTTGAAATGTTTATATATTTTGAATTTATGTACTAAACGGCAACTCACCTTGTCCTCGGAAAACGCATTGTCATCACTAGGACTGGAATAAAAATGGGAGAAAAATACATTCAAATATAAGTTCTTGAATGAAACAACAAACGATTTCAAAACACAGTTCTATAATATAGTATCATAGCCTACAATAATGGAAAAAAATATATTAATGTTTATAATATTTCAATAATAAGGGAAACGATATAAAAAAAAAAGCTATATCATCTATGTTTTCTTTTTTCTTTTACTAACCAACACACCGATAGTACTTATTTGTCACTCAGAAATTTACTCCACTTTTGATCCCACAAAATAATCGGTAATATCACTACATCGGCCAGTTTATTAGACCTCACACTCGTCAGATCATTTATCAGTTATGACTCTGAATTCTTGTAATGCTTGTAATTCTTTATAATTTAAGTGCTGTATTTAATTTTAAATATTATTGTACCTAAGCTTTGTATAATGAATTGTGAGCCCGCACAGGGACTTATTAAGTAAGGGTGAGGATAACCTAAGTTACCTCATCCTTTTGAGATGTAATTTTACTTTTGTCTCAATAAACGTGTCAAAGTCAAAAAAAAAGTCAAGTTGCATTTGTTGAACGAGTTTCCATAAAGGTAGCGAAAGCACACGAAAATAACCCAAATCTTATCCAAACACACACGCACAGTACTACACGTGTGCGTCTATATGGGAACAGGTTAACGATTCCGACACTGCACGCTTACAGGTAATACACTTGCCCAAATCCAGAGCCCAGAGATTAAGACTGACGGTCGACGACTTTCCCTAAGGAGCTGCAACCGTTGCAACAAGTTTTCCTTTTCCTCTTGTATTTTTAGTTCGTCTTTATTTTTGACGCGCTTCCTCGCTATTATCTCTCGTCTTTTTCCGCCCACAAGGAGCTGTCGCGCTGCACTTTCCTGTAATTCCACTCCTATTTTGGGGGGAAGTCATATATAAACAACTGCACCGGGATGGCGAGCGTGGGCCCAGAGCACCGTCAATGCGAACAGAGTGACGATAATAGCAACCTGAACTTTCAAAGTGTCGCTGAGCCACCTTGGTCTGCCGAGGCCTCAGCCGCGCCGCGATCTCTCGCTGCCATTCTCTGACCTCTTATTAAAGTAAATGTACTGTAAATTACCTCTGTCTTCAGGGTGTTTTTACTTTGCCACTGCCTTCAGCGGTTTTTTCTTTCCTCATTGACGGTGCCAGGGGAAGACTACACCTCTCCTCAGACCCGCCGCTCTCTGTATAGGGAGGCCCAGCAGTCTGAGGCGACCTTTAGGTGTGCTTTTTCTCCCTCTAAGCTTCTTCACTCTCTTGTGGCCACCTGGACCTACATAAACTCTCTGTGTTTTTTGTATTCGTCTGGGTGGTGCGCTCTCACCTACTGTCCCTTTATAGCAAGGTTTGGCAGCAAGGGAGTAGCTCACCACAAAAACTCCGATCCTCTAGTGTGCTGGAGAACGCCGCCAGGCTGTCACTAGGGGGGGTCGAGTGCAGGACCTCTACTTTTCCCCTTTCCTCTCATCTCTCTCCAATCACCCTCGTCTCCCTCTCATCTCACCCCTGCTCATCCCACTCCATCCCATGACTCAACAATGGTGAAAGTCAAAATCACCTGTGGTGGTGGTCCCAGCCCCAGTCGCCGGGACACCCTCGCCAAGGCTCTCTATGACGCCAATGTCAGAGTACTTCGGTACTACAACATCCATGATGGATATCTGTCTATTGTTGAAGACAACGACCATGCCGAACGACTCTTTTCCGCGGAAATAGTCGCTTCCCTCGGGAAGCTAGGGTTCACTCCTGTCCTCCCTTTGGACATGAAAGCCAAACTAACTCTGGTTTTTAAGAAATGCGACAGACAGGTCGTAAATGAGAACGAATCCACCATCGCTGACGAGATCATGGCAGCTGCTCCAGGATCTCATGTTGAGCATGTCTTTGTGCTTAAGACAAACTACTTGATGAAAGTACGATTCTCTGACCACCTGTCTGCCAAGAACATTAAGGAGAAAGCATCTACCTCTTTACCTTTTCATTGCCCCCTGGCAAATAGAATTTGAACGCTTCACCCAGTAAGGCAGTGCATGAACTGTTATGGCTACGGCCACCTGAAGGGCCAATGTAAGGAAGTGAAAAAGACAGATGCTCTGAATGTGGCTCTGGAACACATAATTACAGAAACTGCACAAGTAACTTTAAAAAGTGCATGAACTGTGGCGGTGACCACCGCACTTTTGCCAACAGCTGCCCTGTTCGCAAGGAGGCCATTAAGACCTCACACGAGAAGGAGAAGGAGAAAGAAGCCAGGCCACTCAGGGCAGTTGCTCAAAAAGGCGGCATTAGAAACCGTGCAAGCCACCACGAATGCCTGGAAACCCATCATTAACCAGGTCCGCCAGGACATCAAGTCCACAGTCACTGCCACAGCACAAAAACAGAGCCCAGTATTTGCCTTGCTCTCCCAAATGACCTCTCTAAGGACATCCTGGTGGTGCTCCTTCACACCCACCTGCAGAACATCATAGCCCCTGAGAAGGGCTTCAGGCACCATGCCAGAGAGGCCCTTAGAGAGAACAACTACCAGAGTTAGATCTCGGGAGGGTGACTCATGGGGCATCCTTAAAGTTGTCCAGCCCCCCAGACAGCCGCCAACAGTATCCCCTGAATCCTCCCACGACCAGGTCCTGGAGAGCCAGCTGGCCATGATACCCCAGACCTCCCCACCACCCTGTGAACCCCTGTGACAGCCCCTAAGCCTGACACCTCTGTGAGGCGAATGGGCAGAAACCTGTCAGCCACCTCAGGATCTCCCAGGGAGGACCCTCCCACCTCCCCTAATCCACACCGGCCTCTCCCACCTGCACAAAAACCCAGAGGTGTCACAAGGGTGATGACGGCTGGGATCGTCTGATGGACGGCACGGTAGTGGACCCTAACTTCTATGGGATCCGGCTATTTGCCGAAAAAAACAAAAATATGTATACTCAGGAAAAGAGGAAATCGGCCATGAAATTCGTAAAACCGAATCAAGTGGCTAATGACCAAAGCAGAGCATTACCATATGGTCATAGCCCAGAACCTCCACACCCACCTCATGGAGGGACGCATAAACATTAACAACACCATGATTGAACAGTACAAGAACATACGCAAAATACCCAACGGACACCTCATAGAAGACGCAACACAAAAACATACGTAACACCAACATGACTCATAATACACTACTCTCACGTCTCACCATCATTCAACACAATGTCTTACACTGGCCAACACGAAAACACGAACTCTGCAACACATACAGAAAACACGATCCACACATCATACTCATAAACAGCCATGGGCTCAATAACGGTAATCCACTAAAAATCTACACATACACAACCTATTCTTCCAACAAATCACAAGAACGAAACGATGGCGTAGCTATAGCGATCAAAAACAACATCCAACATAAAATCATCAACAACTTCCATTCTGATCTCTTGGCAGTCGAAATAAACACACCACAAGGACCCATCATACTTGCAACACTCTACTTACCTCCACGAAGACCTACATACCTGAACCTGACATTCTGCAGCTCCTGAGGCATAACAAACCAATATACATCATGGGAGACTTTAACGCACATCACCCACTGTTTGGCTACAATGACACTAAAACGTAGGCAGAGGTTTCGCCTCATACATGCAACAAGGCAGACTAACACACCTCGGCCTTCACACCAACCTACATTGCCTTACAACTCAGCAACAACACCCGACCTAGTCTTTGCAAACCACAGAGCTCACTTACACCAACATAACAACCGGCGATGTTGACCACCTTCCGGTCATCCTAACACTCTCCACAACCCTATCATGCTCCCAACACAACCCCGAGAATCTTTAAAACATGCAAACTGGAGGGTTTCAGACAAGCACTCGAAAACACACACGTCACTGATCTCGAGGGGCAACCCACACACACAATAAACACCCACCTTGAACAGTGGTACCCAGACATACAGACGGCCCGCGAGGCTAACATACCCAAAACAACACACAAAACCATCCTCACTACAAAGAAACACATCGTCTTAGACTGCTTCAAATACAATACAGGCACCTACACGAGCTCTCACTAACACGGGGTTGGGACGCACAATTACGCACACGATGCAGAACTCAAAACGCAAATAACACACGAGACTAAAGTAATGAACAAACAACACTGGGATTCACTAGGACAAAGACTATGTCAAAACACTAATGACCCCAAGAAATGTTGGAGTTCCTTCAAAATGCTCATTTGGTCGAACAAACAAACTGCCACATTCTTATACAACACACATCGACGGAAGGTGGACTCGGTGGAGGAGATGGAGCTTCTCCACAGGGAATTCTGGCAACAGAATTTCCAGATCTCCCCGCCGAGAACGCCCGCTTCGATAACACCACAGAGACCGAGGTAACAATACCTTCTACAACACAGAAACACAATTCTCCCGAAAACACCATCAGACTAAACAATCTCACAGAGGATAGTCCCCTCTCTACACCAATCACTCCAGAAGAAATAACAAACACAATCAAACACACGAAAAACACAACACCAGGAGCAAGCAAACATAAAAAAATAATCATCCAACATATGCAACCAATATGATCCGCAGGCTACGTGNATGCTCTTCTTCGCTCCTCCAACTTGCATACGTCAGACCCAGTTGTCAAAGAATTCACTCCCCCCGAATGTTTTTATCTATACCGCTTAATTCTCTTACCATTTTATCAGTCACCCATTCCACTCGTCTCACCACCATCCCTCTTTCTCTATCTAGTTTATTCCCCTTCATCACCCCTCTTTCCTCATCACGATCTGCCCTGGAACTCCCCACCTCTTTAACATGTTTGTGTTTGTTAACAGCAATCAATAAAATCATATAAAAATATAAAATAATAAAATCAAATAAAAAAAATTTTGTTGTTCCATTGAAGTAGAAATAGTCACTTTTTTTACTGTTTCCTTGCAAAATCATCAAAATAACTAAAAAACAATAAAATAATAGAATCTAATAAAAATAATTTCAATCAGTTCCTATGTTAATCTATAAAACAATAAAA